ATAAACAATCATTATTATTGATAAGTTATTATAACGCTTATATATATTTCAATACATAAAAATTATTTATTTCGTTTAAACTTCACATGTACAATTTGTTTTAACTTATTATAATTTATTGTTACATATTGAATTTGATTTAATTATTGGTTTTTAGAACTTAAGCAAGTATTTTAGTTTTATTTTGTTCTTAAAAATTGTAATTAATTTTTTAGGAAATTCTATCAAGATTTAAACCATGTCTGTAGTTCTTGAAACTACTATCGGGGATTTAACAATAGATTTGTTTACTAAAGAAAGACCTCACTGTAAGTATCTATTCAGCTTATTTTTAAGTAAATTTATGTTTTTTCATTTCATCTGGTACCTACTGACTTAATCTTACTCCACCTTAAATAGTTTGCATAAATAAAATTTAATAAACTATAAAGTTCTTGAATTTTTGAAAAGTATACTGTTTATTGATTATAACTACCTACTTAATAATCATAGTTTCTCAGAATAATAATTTAACTTATGTTATTAATAATAATAATAATAATATTTTATTGTCATAACATATTAACATGATTTAAAATAATATGTATACTATAAAGTATATAATAATGAAATTTGACCCCCCAAAAAAAAAAAAAAAAAAAAAAAAGCAGAGCTTGTGCTTGGGATAGGAGAGTTCAAAACAGTCAGTTAAATGAGGAATTATAGTACAATATATTAACTTATAACATAATAAAAATCACTTAACTTAAATGTTATCGCTCAATTATATAATCAGTACAAAAAATGAAAAAATAAGAAAATTGAGAAATTGTTTACAGATTGGAATTATTTTGATCTATAGTATTAAGTAATTAATCAACAAATAAATCAATATTCTGCTTCTAATATTAATTTTATACCTACTTGTCTAACATGTACTATTAAGATTTAAGTTTTATCATGACATATATTATTGTATTATTATCAACCATTCCAGCTTGCAAAAACTTTCTGAAGCTATGTAAATTAAAATATTACAACTTTTGTCTCTTTCATCATGTACAATCAAATTTTGTGGCTCAAACAGGCGATCCAACAGGTACTGGGTCTGGAGGACAATCAGTATATGGGTAAGTTAAAAAAAAAGTTCATTGCTTATGTTACTATTTATATTCAATATTTTAATTGTATTTCAATTCAATTTAGAATTTTATCAGGTAAAGAAGCAAGATATTATGAAGGAGAAAAAAAACCAAAAATTAAACATGATCGACCTGGACTTGTATCAATGGTGAATTGTGGTGATAATTTGTATGTTGAAAGTTTTAATTTTTTTTTTTTTTAAATTTAAATAACTGTTTTACTAATTTGTTTCATTTAAAAGAATTGGATCACAATTCTTTATAACTTTAGGTGAAGATACAACTTGTTCATTAGATGAACATATTGTTTTTGGTGAAATAGCTGAAGGTCATGATGTATTATTGAAATTGAATGAGACAATATGTGATGCTACACATCGACCCTATCAGGATATAAGGTTTGAGATTTTTATTAGTGTATGATAAATATTAAAATATGTTATTATATATGGATAGTTAAGTATTCACTACATTGCATAAGATTCAAATAATATTATTCATTTGTCAGGACAAATGGACTACTGTTCTTTAAAAAAAATACATAATAATAAATCATCATATAATAAAAAGTAATAGAATTAAATTAATATATAACATTAAATCAAGTTTACCTACATAAGGAAAAAATTATTAATCTTAACAAAATATAAAATATTATAATATGTATCTATATTTTATTTACATAATTTATATGTATATGTTATATGTAGGGATGCGTAGACAACATCGATATTATCGTTTCATCGATATTACAGTCTGATATTATCAAAAATATTGCATCGATATTTTTATACCGATATATCAATATAATATTGATATATCCATTTATTTGTTCATACCAATTTTTTCCAAGTTATTTCTCAGGCATGCCTTGATACAGGCTTTAATGGATTTATAATTATCTCGGTTGTCGCCGTTGTCGGTCACCGGGACAGTGTATCCGTATATTTGTATGTATTTGCGAGTTGCGACTCACTGTGAATATTATTAACATTACCCCGAAGTCTCACACTCGGGCACTTGACGATTATTTTTCAATAAAATTCCTGGAATGCACCACAGTCCACAGTAAACACCGACATGTCGTTATTTATCGATAGTCGTAAGCACTCGTAAAGTCGTAACTYTGAATAGACTACCTATGTAGAATAGGTATTAAATATTATTTGCTCTGTGGCTCTGTTGACCTGTTGTTTGTCGTCAAGAACTAAAGAGTCAGTTATTAATTTATTACTTACTACTTAGCATTGAACATATTTATACATATAGTTCTAAATATATCAAATCTAAATCTCATGCGAGAGATGAGATACATTCTTATTTGAATCAATCGGTTATTGGACTCAAAGAAGATCCGATTATTGAATGGGAAAATAACAATGAAGCTTTTCCAAATCTATATAAACTAGCTAGACAATATCTTTTTATATCAGTCACATCAGCACCATCAGAAAGATCTTTAGTAAGATCAGTAACATTATGAATTTATGACCAAAAGTAGAAATAGACTATTAGGCTCAAGATTGTCAAAACTAGTGTTTTTACAATCATTAGATGATAAGTATTGGTTCTGAATTTCTAATTTTCTAAATGTTTTACCTTACAAGTTGTAAATTTTATAATATTCAATGTACCTATAGGCTATAATTATTAATTACATATTAAAATATTTACTTGTTATTTATTCATATGACCTATTAATATTAATATATAAAATTATATTGATATATCGATATTTTGATACTTATAAAAAAGTTTACATCAATATTTCATTCATCGATATATCGAACCATTGTCGTTTTTGCGCAACCCTAGTTATATGGTTTTACCAATTTATAAAAGGTAGCTTGAAAATTTACTTTAAAAAACAACAATAATAATTATTTATTTAATTAATACCTTATTATAAAAAAATAAAATAAAATCTTTTATGATGTAATTAATATTAACTTATAAATTCTCTTATAGCATTATGATCCAATACTTTTTCATATTATATTTATTTTGTATTAATTAAAATTGTATAATTTTTTCTTATGATAGAATTACACATACAGTCATCTTGGAAGATCCATATGATGATCCTGATGGTTTAATTGTACCTGGTCAATCTCCTGAGCCACCATTAGAAGTACTCCAGGTAATTTTTATAGTAAATGTACTTCGATTTTAAACATGAACTTATATATTTGTGTAGAGTGATAGAATTGGAGCAGATGAAGACATTACTGAAGATATAGACATTGAAGAATTAGAAGAAAAACGACTAGAAAAGGAAGCTCTTGCTCGTGCTACTATTCTTGAAATAGTTGGAGATTTACCTTCTGCTGATATTGCACCTCCTGAAAATGTTTTATTTGTATGTAAGCTAAATCCAGTTACCAGTGATGATGATTTACAAATAATATTTAGCAGATTTGGTAAAATTGTAAGGTGAGTATTTTTATATCAATTATAATTTTATGACTTGGAAAAATTTATATGTTTTATATTCAATGAATATAACTGGTTGTAAGCTTTATTTGTGTACCCAATGAAATAAAGTATTTAGAATTTTATGATTATCCATTACATTGTGTGGTATGCTAAATACTTGTTTATTTTGTATTTAAAACTAAAATAATAAAATAACTACCCATGTTTATTCATTCAAAATTACTTTAAGAGGATGTCAGCGCTCTATTTGTTTTCTCTTTYTGGCTCACTCGTAACATAGACAAAACGAATATACACAGAATCATTTTTTCTATATCTTGAAATAATTTTAGAGTAGAACCTCCCATTACAAAAAAGGTAGAAAATAATATGTTTGAGGGAATGACATATCGATTTGTCTAAATATTGTCTCTAAATAATT